CGGCGAGGGACCTGCCCCGCCAACGGCCCAGGGGCCCGGCCAGGGGTGGCCCCTCAGAACACCCCTTCCCCGGGCGCGCCCGTCTTCGCTGCCTGGCCCGGCGCTGCCTGGCGTGCGGGTGCCACGTCCGGTTACCTGGTGCCTGAAATGATTCATCTAGAGCAGGGGAGGGGAACCTGAGGCCCCGACTTTCCTGGATCTGGCCCCCAAGGCCCAGGCTCCCCGGCACTGAGGAGCCTGCAGTGACATTTCACCGCCTCCTGGCGGGGCTGGAGCACACGAAAGCTACAAGCCTGGCCCCATTAGGCTCTGGGTGCAAGGGAGCGTGGGCAGTGTCTTTCTCCTCAGTCAGGGGCATAGACTCCTAGGGCTGGAAGAGACCTCAGGAGGTCATCAAGTCCAGCCCCCTGCCCAAAGCAGGATCAACCCAATTAAATCATCCCAGCCAGGGCTTTGTCAAGCTGAGACTTAAAAACCTCTAGGGATGGCGATTCCACCACCTCCCTAGGTAACCCATTCCAGTGCTTCACCACCCTCCTAAGGAAATAATGTTTCCTAATGTCCAACCTGGACAATCCCACTGTGACTTGAGACCATTGCTCCTTGTTCTGCCATCTGTCACTACTGAGAACAGCTTTTCTCCGTCCAATCTGGAACCTCCCTTCAGGAAGTCAAAGGTTGCTATCAAATTTCCCCCTCACTTTTCTCTTCTGCAAACTAAACAAACCCAAATCCCTCAGTCACTCCTCATAGATCATGCTTTCCAGCCCCCTAATAATTTTGGTTGCCCTCTCCAGTGCGTCCATATCCTTTCTATAATGGAGAACCCAGAACTGGACACAATACGCCAGGTGTGGCCTCACCAGAGCTAAATAAAGGTGAATAATCACTTCTCTAGATCTGCTGGCAATGCTCCTCCTAATGCAACCGAATATGCCATTCGCCTTCTTGGCTACAAGGTCACATCAGTGAGGATTTGTGTGTGAGGGGAGAGGTTCCTGCTTCTCACTTGCCTGTGGCCCATGACTGATTTTTCTGTGGAGCAGCAGCTCCTGACTCAAAAAGGGTTCCTCACCACTGATTTTTGAAGCATTGCTTGCAGGGCGGGGGCAGAGCAGAGAAGGCTTCTGGCGTTCCTAGGGTCCTAATTGGCCTGGGGCCGGAGGAGCAACAGGGCCTCCACGGGCTAGATCCAGCCCACGGAGGCCCTTTACATCACTTCTGATCTAACTGAAAAAAAATCTTCGGGAGTCAACTAGGGATCTTAAGATGTGGTTAACTGGCTAATTGAGTAGTCAATAGAATTTTTATCAATTACTCAATTAGTGGCTAAGGGAAGGCATCCCAGCTCTTACCACATTTAAACTGCAGAGCCATGGCAGGGGTAGATCCTGGACCTGGCTCAAAAGTCAGGACTGAGCCTAGCTGCCTCCTTGCCTGGCTGTTAGTATGTTTAAACTGCAGAGCCACAGTGGAGGTGATGTGGAGACTCCACTAGCCAGTAGAATAGAGAGGGTTTATTGCTTCTGCGAGGTACAGAACAGCCTAGGTTCTATGTGAGCATCTAAGCGAGGGGCCAGGTAGTTACAGACCCCTTGGGGTAGGGGTCCACAG